AGGTGATTCTCATCCCAGCTGCTTCACACTCGGCTGCGAACCACTCCAGCGAATGCTTAAAATCACATTCTGATGAAGCCAACAGGACCACATCATCTGCAAAAAGTAGAGACCTGATCCTCAGGCCACCAAAACGGATGCCCTCCACACCTTGGCTGCACCTAGAAATCCTGTCCATAAAGGTTATGAACAGAATCGGTGACAAAGGGCAGCCTTGGCGGAGTCCAACTCTCACTGGGAATGAGCCTGACTTACTGCCACCAATGTGGACCAAGCTCTGACACTGGTCATACAGGGACCTAACAGCCCGTATCAGAGGGCCTGGTACCCCATACTCCCGGAGTAACCCCCACAAGGCCCCCCGACGGGCGCGGTCAAACACCTTCTCCAAATCCACAAAACACATGTAGACTGGTTGGGCAAATTCCCACGCACCCTCCAGGATCCCCCTAAGGGTATAGAGCTGGTCCAGTGTTCCACAGCAAGGACGAAAACCACATTGCTCTTCCTGAATCTGAGGTTCAACAATCCGACGGACCCTCCTCTCCAGAACCTCTGAAAAGACCTTACCAGGAAGGCTCAGGAGTGTGATCCCCCTGTAGATGGAACACACCTTGCGGTCCCCCTTTTTAAATAAGGGGACCACCACCCTGGTATGCCAGTCCAGTGGGACTGCCCCCGATGTCCACGTGATATTGCAGAGCCGTGTCAACCAACACAGCCCCACAACATCCAGAGCCTTAAGGAACTCTGGGCGGATCTCATCCACCCCCGGAGCCTTACCACAGAGGAGCTTTTTAACCACCTCAGTGACCTCAGCACCAGAGATTTGAGAGGCCAACCCAAAGTCCCCAGACTCTGCTTCCTCACTGGAAGACGTGTCGGTGGGATTGAGGAGGTCTTCAAAGTATTCTGCCCACCGATCCACAACGTCCTAAGTAGAGGTCAGCAGCACACCGTCCCCACTATAGATAGTATTGGTAGCGCACTGCTTTCTCCCCCCGGTGGGGATGGTGAACCAGAATCTCCTCAAAGCCGTACGGAAGTCTTGCTCCATGGTCTCACCAAACTCCTCCCATGCCCGGGTTTTTGCCTTGGCGACCACCCGAGCCACGTTCTGCTTGGACTGCCGGTACCCGTCCGCTGTCTCTGGAGTCCCACAGACCAAAAAGACCTGACAGGACTCTTTCTTCAGCTTGACAGCATGCCTAACCGCCGGTGTCCACCAGCAGGTTCGAGGGTTGCCACCACGACAGGCACCGACGATCCTGCGACCACAGCTACGGTCGGCCGCCTCAACAATGGAGGCACGTAACAGGGTCCATTCAGACTCAATGTCCCCCGCCTACCCCGGAAAATATTGTAAGTTCTGTCAGAGGTGGGAATTGAAGCTCCTTCTGAATGGAGACTCTGCCAGACGTTCCCAGCAGACCCTCATGATACGTTTGGGCCTGCCTGGTTGGACCGCCATCCTCCCCCACCATCTAGCCAACTCACCACCAGGTAGTGGTCAGTTGAAAGCTCCGCCCCTCTCTTTATCCGAGTGTCCAAGACATGCGGCCGCAGGTCAGATGAAACAACAACAAAGTCGATCATCGAGCTGCGGCCTAAGATATCCTGGTGCCAAGAGCACATATGGACACTTTTATGTCTGAACATGGTGTTCATTATGGACAATCCATGACTGGCACAGAAGTCCAATAACAAAACACCACTCGAATTCAGATCGGGGGGCCATTCTTCCCAACCACACCTCTCTAGGTCTCACGGTCATTGCCCACGTGAGCGTTAAAGTCTCCCAGCAGAACGAGGGAGTCACCGGAAGGAGCGCTTTCCAGCACCCCCTCCAAGGTCTCCAAAAAGGGTGGGTAGTCTGAACTGTAGTTTGGTGCATAAGCACAGACCACAGTCAGAGCCCTTCCCCCCCACACGTAGGTGGAGGGAGGCTACCCTCTCATTCACTGCTCGGCGCCTCTCAGTGGGAGCAACTCCAGAGTGGTAGAAAGTCCAACCCCTCTCATGGAAACTGGTTCCAGAGCCAGAGCCATGCGTCGGAACCTCTCAACCTCACACACTAACTCAGGCTCCTTCCCCACCAGAGAGATGACATTCCATGTGCCAAGAGCCAGCTTCTGTAGCTGAGGATCAGACTGCCAAGGTCCCCACCCTTGACAACCACCCGTCACACACTGCACCCGACCCCTTTTGCCCCTCCCACGAGTGGTGAGCCCATGGGAAGGGGGATCCACATTTCCTCTTCGGGCTGTGCCTGGCCGGGCTCCATGGGTGAAAGCCCGGCCACCAGGTGCTCGCCAACCTGTCCCACCTCCAGGCCTTGCTCCAGAGGGGGGCCCCAGTGACCCACGTCCGGGCAAGGGAACATGGTTTCCATTTATATAGTTCATCATAAGAGGTCTTCGGGCAGCTCTTTGTCTGATCCCTCACCTAGGACCTGTTTGCCATGGGTGACCCTACCAGAGGCAGAAAGCCTCTGACAACTTAGCTCCTAGGATCACTGACACACTCAAACCCCTCCACCACGGTAAGGTGGCAGCCCAGTTGTGTGTAATGAATGTAATACATATGAAAGTCTAATGTTTATCAGTACATTACAGACAATAATGAACTTCATCACAATATGCTAATTGTTTTAGAAGGACCTGTATGTGTTTCATTTTGAGGGGTGCTGAAAGACCCCATATTCAATAGGGAGCCTAAGGCACTTCCGCATCATGGGTCCCTGGAAGAACAAAAAATGAATGCAAGTCAACGGGGCAAAAACTGTATCAGCTTGTAAAGGTTAGAAATTAGCATGACTACAAACGAGAAATCCGCACACAGGGACCCTACGTGTCCTCCCTTTCCAGTCTGCTCATGGGTCCCCGGAAGAACGAAAAAATTAATGCAAGCCAACGGGGCTAAAAACGCTATTTTCTAATCCGCTTTGCCTTACGCCCTTGATCACACGTGTTGTACTGAAATTTAAATGAAAAGTAATGATTTGTGTTTCGACTACGCCAGTAATGTACTTTGAGATTTGTCAGCTTGTCAAAGTTTTTAATTAGCATGACTACACACCAGAAATCAGCACGTTGCATATGTGACGTCACCACAAATTCTCCTCTCCCCTAGAGTAGCTGCTACTTACCACATGACCAGATTGTTGGTGGTTTTTGTCCTCCTGTGGAAAGTTTGCTGGCCTTACTGCCATTTTCCCTCAGTTTTCTCCGTGTCTGGTTCAATGACGTCACTTTCGTGATGCACATTTGTAGTCCTGGACTTATTTTCACACAAAACCTAAAATATCGTTCCCCTCGTTCGAAAATAAGCATGTTCTTGGTATAAAAATGCTTCTTTAAAATTCATGGACATCATATGTGAAATCCATGGAACATGACAAGCAGAATTAGAAAATAGTGTTTTTAGCCCCGTGACTTGCACTCTTTTTTTTTTGTTCTTCTGGGGACCCATGGTGCAGAAGTGACTTAGGCTCCCTATCTCAGAGCCCTTTTTACCACGCTAGTAAAATATATATAAAAAAAAAAAAACAGTACATGGAGTAAATGCTATATTTTAGCAAGAAAAAACAGCAAACCTCCCACACCTAAAGAATGGTTTGATCCCACTCCCCTTTCCCAGACTCGGGCTCTGAGTGCTCTGAGCACAGAGGATTCTGCCTTCCTGAGTGGCTGATCTGCTGTAGTGGTGAAAGTACCGTACCTGCCTTAAAAAAGGAAACGTGGCTCGATTTTTAACTTCTACCACTCAAGGCTTCTATAGGTCCAAACGTCTTTGTTTGTTGACTTCAAATGGTGTTTTGCTTTTTGGGACTCTGGTGGTTTGTCCTATAGCTGAAGTGGTAGCAGCTGGCTGTTTCTCCTTCTCTGATGTTACTGAGCGGAGAACCTCTCACACCAGTGGTGTTCTGGTGCTGAATACGTGAGTGGAGGACCCAGGGAAGTTGGGTGGTGGTCCAATAGTTGCTTTTGGTCTGAGACTTGTCATTGGTTTTTAGACAAATGCGAGGGAACCACTTTATTTTTTATTTTTTTTAACTCCACAATATATTTATAGCTATACTATGTAAGAATGTTAAGAGGCATAAAAAATGTGTTAGGATAGCTCGTTTTGCAGATTTGCCGTTATAGTTTTTTATCTGCCAAAGAGGTGGTTTTGCCGGCTGTTTTGAATGTCTCTTTGGTGAAGCAATGGTTGGTTCCCATTTCTAGATTTTGATTTGGGAAGGGCAATTCCAACCAATTTTTTAACTCCTGGAGCATCTTTACTGTGCTCTTCTTATAAAACTAGAACACCAAGACCCTTCAAACCTGGATTATTCCCCACCAATAGAAGAGTCCCTAAAAACATAGTTTATGGCAGGGGGACGCAACTAAATTTGTTCAAGGGCCAGAGTTGTATTTGTATTATTGTATATGTATTTATTAATATTTAAAATGGCTTTGTTTTCCATCTAAACTGACGGTAGTTTTAGTTGTTTGGAGAACATAAAACAATTATTGATGTTTGGGGCATGAATTTTGCTGCTTAACTTCAAAGTCCCCCAATTGGGGATGTTAGGGCCCAAAGTTGGGGGTCCGGGTGGAAAGCTCTGGAAGGCCGGATGTGGCCCACGGGCCACCAGTTGAGGTTCACTGGTTTATGGCTGATGAAACATTAATTGAATTTTTTTAATTGAATTAAAAACAAAGTGTTGCTTTTCTTTCACAAATGTGGAAATGAAATGGTGTTAAAATCTACATCCCAGTGAAAATAACCTTGCCTGGTGGGCAGCTCTCTGGGTGTACAGCACCCTTAAACCTCTGATAGAATCGTCCTGTTTCAAAGCAAGATGTCTTCAAGTTACTTCTATTGAGTTTGTAAAGAAAAACATTTTCTCTAAACCTACAAAAACCTGATGAAATGATGGGGCAATAGTTTTAAACTGACTTGTTTGTGCATCCACTCAGTTGTTTCCCAAAGCATTGGCTGTGACGTCTCACCTGCTTGATTGGTGGTGATGGTGACAGCGGCGTATTGTCTCATCTTAGGCGCCAGTGATGACACGCCGTTCTGCGCTTCAATCTCAAATGTGTAGTTGGTGTGGGCCAACAGGTCGCCCACCGTTACTGTAGTGTTGTGGAGGCCAGAGGCTCTTGGCAGAAAGCGAACGTTGCTTCGACACGGCTCACAGTGTTGAGTCCCGCTGCTGCTGCCGTTAGCAGCAACACCTCTGCAGCGCTTACAGACGACATTAAAGGTGATATCCCGACGTCCTCCAGTGTCCTCCGGCCAGCTCCAGTCCAGGATTACCGAGGTCTCATTGATGGAAGAGATCACGTTCCGGGGAGCTGAAGGAGGTCCTGAGAAAAGAAGGAGTTGAGATGAGGTGGAGGAGGTCATTTGATTTACTGATGGGAAAAGAGTTTCAGAGAAGGAATAAAAAAGGAAAGTGGAAAAGCATGAAAAGAGGAAAGCTGCATCACCATCAGTTAACCAGCTGACACTAGATGGAATCAAGAGACATGTGCAGTACATTAGTACATTTAGGATCAACTTTATGGATCGATGTCCTCCTAAATCATTATTTCCCTTGATCTGTTTCTATTTCAGATAACATGTCAGAGCTGTAGAATCGGTTTCCATGAACAAATGAGATTTTACTTTAAGAATGAAAGCAGCAGAGAATTTCTAAAACACATGAATATGTTTAGGAGAATGTGTTCATTTTTTACTTCAACATTTTTTTTTCAAACAACATTCGCTAATGAAATTAGTCTGTTTTACAGTAACTATTATTTTGCTCGTTTTCACATTTATAACGTTTCATCTTTTAGCAAGGCTTTAGCTGATGGGATTCAAATAAAACATGTAAAGTAAAAATGTTGCATCTCACGTGGACAGATTCATTCACGAGCTGTAACTATTAGGCATGACCACAGAGTCTCCATAAGGTGAGTCTCACTTTAACTGGGTCAGGTGATTCTGCTGCTGAAAAGCTGAACGTTGCTTTAGAGACTAAAACACGAAAAATTCAGCCTCATTTCTCAGTAATTAGAACTATTCGTCACTCATTCATCATTCCTTGAATTCTGGAATATTTCCCAGACTCAGGTGACAAGAACTTTTTACCACCGTGAATGGGGTCGATGACGGGTGTTTAATTTGACAAATGCAGCACCCACAGACCAAGACCATATTTATTTCACAAAATACCATTCAATGATTTACTCAATTTATTTATTTTCATTTAATTTATCATCTCTCTGTGCTTGAACCTATCATCATAATTAGCACCATTCAGTCATCATTATTTAAAGATAGAAAGTACAAAGTTACATTTTTTTAAATATAATTGAAAGTGAAGAAAATATCTGTCATTGGCCACAGCAAACGGGACATTTTGAGCATTCATTAAAAACTTATTTTTAAAAAATGCTGTTAAACATAAAGTTATAACAAAAGTGACTCACTCGTGTGTTTAATTTATTTTTTGCTTTATCTTAGTCTGTAAATGTATTTCAGCAGCTTGTTTCTACTTTGGTTTGCTATTGAGAAAGAAAAAAGGAGCACATCATAGCAATTTTGGTGACTAAAAGAAAAACAAACTCAAACACATAAAAGTAAAAAAAAAGTCTTATTTCAAGCATATTTTTAAAGAATAAAGCTGCTACTTATACACAGAAGACAAAGCTGTCAAACAACTCACCTAAATACTGAACAGACAAAGAAAGGAATAACACGAAGAAGGAAAAAGCCTTTCTGGATCATGTCTGGAGATAAAGCACTTTGTTTAGTTGGTTTCACTAATTTACTTCTTTCTCAAACTGCGGTCAACTCCCGTCTCAGAATCCGTTTTATGTGTTTTTGCCGAATCAGTTGAAAGGAAAAATGAAACTGGGAAATCAGATAAAGACATCTGGGAATCAGTAGGTCATCTGTGAAGAGTTTGGAATTTTACAAAAAATAAAATGAAAGCCCACATGCGATGGAAAAAAGAGACTAAAAAAACATTCTGGAAAATTCTTAAACAGCACCAACAAACCAAATGAGACAACCTTCAATTAGAGTTCTCACCTACTTAACGTTGCACGTGAAAATGTTAGAAATAAAAACTCGAAGTCATCAAATTTTTGCTATGAGAGCCGCTTTTGTCTCAGCTGCTTGAAGTTAAGCAGGAAAAGATGACAGCCTTCCTTTGTGCCACTCAGCAAGGTGCATTGGCACGTCACTCCCTACATACTTGTGTCCGTTTAGAGCTGGTTAGGGTTGTAAAGGAATGCGACGGAGCTTTTAAAAGTAAAAAAATATATAAATTCTTCTGAGCTTTGCTGGTAAAAAGTGCTGATACAGACATGCCGAACACAGACGCACATTCCACTGGGGCATCTCCCCCCTAATTGTTTCTGCTGAACATTTTCTGTCTGGCCTTTAAACATTTCTTGCCAACATTTTCACATTTCCCAAGTCAACATGAAACAACCCCTATCAGGCTGCTAACAGTAAAATCCCTCTCCTGAGATAATCACGATCATTATCGCCTAACAACCCATCTATTCATTTTCATCTCTCGTGTTGTTCCAACTGTCCCAGCGAGGTGAAATCCATGTAGTTGACAAGATGATGTTGAGATAATCACAACGGGGACCTGCGTGACTGTCTTTCTAATTAGGATTCTGTCTACAGCTGTGGGCCGTGATTTATATTTTCTACTGTTCTCCGTGCTGCTCGTTTTGTAACGGATGTATATATAATCTATCATCAGGGAATGCAGTGATTTATGGCTTTAAAGGGAAGGCACTTTGGAAGACTTGCAGGAGACAACTGCACCTGAAAACTATTTGCCTTAAATTGAAACGAGAGGGTGATATAGAATGGAAATTTGGTAAAATTGTCCTGGGCAACTTAACCTAAATATTTTAGGTAAAAAAGGTGAGCTTTTTGTTTTTTAAAGGTGCATTGTGTAAAAATGATGTAAGAACGAAATCCTGTAGTGAAATATGGGTATTGCAGCCTATTTTAAAACACAGGAGTGGGTTCTCTCCGGGTTCTCCGGCTTCCTCCCACAGTCCAAAAACATGACTGTTAGGTTAATTGGTCTGTGCAAATTGTCCTTAGGTGTGTGTGATTGTTTGTCCTGTTTGTCCCTGTGTTGACCTGCGATGGACTGGCTCTCTGTCCAGGGTGTACCCCGCCTGATTGCCTGTTGACCGCTGAATGGCCCTTAACAGAAAGCCACCCACCCCATACTCCTGGAGCGTCCCCCACAGGGTGCCCCTGGGGACACGGTCATAAGCCTTCTCCAAATCCACAAAAAACATGTGGATTGGTTGGGCAAACTCCCATGCCCCCTCCATCACCCTTTGATGCTTTGATATGTAAAATAAATTCCAAAAATATGAATATATATATTTATATATAAAATATATATTATAAAGAAAGTGATATTAAGACAGATGTGCTATAACACATATGTCAGAGTCAAGGCCCGAAGGCCAGATGCGGCCCGCGGAGCATTTTTATGTGGCCCGCGAGATAAATATAAAAAATATATTAAAACTGGCCCGCTGGCCGATTTTAGCAAAAACTTCAACTCCCATGATGCTTTGCGGCGTCAGCGCGGAGCCGACGAAGCCCCCTCCTTTGTGTTTTTTCCGCCTGCTGCCGGTCTCTGCAGCTCCGCTGTCTCGGACAAACTACACTCCTCTCACTCAGCGCCGAGTTCACTCAGCTGTTTTCTGACGTTGAAGCCCAGAAACAGAGATTCTAGCCGCTCAGTAATGTGTTCACGACTGAAAGAAAAAGTGTTCCAACTAACTTCCAGACAGAGCTGATATAACTCCAGCGAGCAGCGACACGCTCAAACCAGCACGACTCTGTGGTTGTGTTTCCTCCCCGACACACAACGTGGTCAAGCTGCTCAGACATGTTCATCAGCACAAACCTATGTGAGCACCTGTTGTCATCTAATGTTGTCATTATTATGATGAAGATGAACAAAACAACAGGAGTCTCCTCCTCAGCTCAGATCAACCCCATGATGCAGGTATCTGGCTGGAACAGGTGAGCATCACAGTAAACCAGTGGAGCAAACTGAGCTTTAAATATGTTGGTTTTATGCTCTTTTTCTGCTCCAAAACATGAAAGTTAACAGGTGAGATGTTGCATTTTCATTTAAGATAAAGTGATATTTAATTTTGTTGTTGGCCCGTGAGAAAAGATTTAACCTACAGTAAACAGGAAGTGGAAAGGCTGCAGATAGAGGAATAGAATAGAAAATCCCTTTATTGTTCCTCAGTGGGGAAAGCTTGACGTCACAGCAGCGATGACACGTATTACAGGAGAACAAAAGAATAAAAAATAAGAAAAATGAATAAACAAGAAAACATAAATCCTGAATAGATTTTAAAAATGCTGATTATACCACAAGTAACGAATACCACTGATGCCTTTTATTTAAAACTGACTTGCTCGTGTGTCATTTGGTTATTCCACATTCAGTGTTAATGCAGAAATAAGTTTGTTTCCAAATTTAAAGGTTCAAAATTGCATATATGTTGATAAAGAAAATGTGCAAATTTGCCGTCACTTTTTCAAAAAATATTAAGTTTGGCCCTCGACTCCATCCCAGAGTTTCATTTCGGCCCCTTGTGAGTTTGAGTTTGACACCCCTGTGCTATAAAATATAGCTCAGACCTGATAACAGCGCACCGAGCAAAAGGGAGCAGGTGGCTCATGATATAGGGAGCCTAAGTCACGCCTATCTACTTCCAGACCACGGGTCCCCAGAAGAATGAAAAAATGAATGCAAGTCAACGGGGCTAAAAACACTATTTTCTAATTCCGCTTGTTTTGTGCCATGGATTTCACGTATGATGTCCGTGAATTTTAAAGAAGCATTTTGATACCAAGAACTTGCTTATTTTCGAAAAGGGGGAAACGCTATTTTAGGGTTTGTGTGAAAATAAGTCCAGGACTACAAATTCGCATCACGAAAGTGATGTCATCGAACCAGACACTGAAAAAACTGATGGAAAAGGGCCGTAAGTTCATCCCTGGCTTGTCTCGGACAAAGGAAAGGGGGTCTTTGTGAAAAAAAAAAGGTTGGAAATCACTGTTCCAGATGACAAGCGAAGACGAGTCACGCGCAGTAAATCTATAGGTAGATAAATACATTTCAATGTAATATAAAATTGTGGTAATTAAAAAAGTAGCTTGATAATTAATTTTAGAGCCGACTATTTGCTTCTAATTCACCGTTAGCATTGTTAACTCAACGTTAACCTCACACCTTCTGTCCCTGATTTTACAGTAAAACAAAAACATGCCATGGCTTCTTTGGGGTACAAAAAAATAACTTCTGGGTCGCTCCTAGTTACTGACTTCGGATATTTTAGAAGCATTGTGGCATTTTGCTGGCCGGTGTCCAATTACAAATCCTGGCACTGCAGCGTTAGCTTACACAGATTCAGTAATCTTGTGGCTTACAGATTTTAAACAAAGACTATTTCCCTCTTTGGACATTTTGAAAGGAGAAAAATCCACAACTGCCAGCCGGCTGAGAAAAAATTCTGTTTTAATGTAACCTTTCCAACACTGAGACATTAGACTGTTTTGTGACAATTTCACTGTAAAATTCTTACATATTGTACCTTTAAACACACTAATGAAATAAAAGTCTACTGAGAGACAATGGGACAATGGTCTACTTTACTTGATATTTATTACAGCACATCACAATAGTATTTTAAAATAAAAAATTATTGCACTTACGAGTACATGCCATAGAGGCAGGGTCCTCCTCAGCACGAAAGTAGTTTTTCTCACAGCCACAGTGCAGTGACCCTTCATGGTGAGAGAAGCTGTGAGGCGGACACTTTGAACACTCCATGTTGCCCAGCGTAGATTTATAGAAGCCTGCCCTGCATGCTGGAAAACAAAAGAACACAGACAGATACGTGAGCATCATGCTGAACCAGCAGCTATATAATGGCTTGATTCTTCTTCGGGGCAACTACAACAATAGCGAGTAAGAAATGAAAGATGGAGAGCATTATTACAGTGTTTTTTTCTGTCACACAGTGCAAGAAAGCTAAAGGTACAGTAAATCTATAACAGATATAACAGCAAATGCTTGTAACACTTTTTATGTTGTTTTTTTCTGAAATGTCTTTGTTACCTTCTTCAGCTCTCAGAAGACTCAACATGAATAATGCAAAATGTCCCCTCAGATGAAAGGGATGTTCGTTTTAAATATCCTTGGTGTTAAATCTGCACTCAGTAGCTCTTTTGCCTCCTACTCAACACAATTATGTTGCAATCTTTGCAAGTAGGGAGACACTCTACTGCTGTATTTTACGTTTATGTGGGAGAAAGCAAAGGCAACACAGAAAGAAATGAAAAGTATTTTGATGTTTAAGATGTTCTCTGATTTTATTCACACCAATTCAATTTCTAATCTATTTTAAATCTATATCAATTGTATTTATGCAAGTCTAAAACATTTAAGCACCTTAAATGCTAACATCAAAAGCATGTTAAATGCCAAGGATTCCTCCTAACTAAATGAGACGGTTTTTGAGCTTGAAAATTCACTGATATTCTACTTAGATCAGTTTAACATTTGGATGAAGCTATTGAAAGGTTTTAAATAAAATATTATATTGGGTTGTAATTTACAAAGAAACAACTGTCTGTCAGGATGAAACCTTCAAAAAGATAACGGAAAATCAAATCTCTCTTTTTTAAATCAAACAAACTCTCCATGGTCACTAATTCATTTTTACGAATGTCCGATAATATCGGCATCAAGTATAACATCAGACATTATCGTTTTTTATGTTTTTAATGACACAACGTTTACATAATATTTACATATTATACATAAAATTCTTCAGCTACATCTCCTCTTCCTCAAATACCAAAATATGACAGATTTAAAGATATATATATATATTTGGCACAACTAGCCTAACTTAAAGTAGCAGTCATAATTTGCACAGATTATGTTTAAAGTTGGAAGCATGCATGCTAAGAGAGAAGCCATGCCTAAAAGAGTTTTTCTTTTTTATGAAGGGGAACCCTCATTTATACAGGGATCAGTTTATGTCAGTATCAGAAAATCAGAGAGACTGTCAGTATATTAGTAAAATAGCCAATATCAAATATCCCTTTAGTGAGATATAGTTTTCACTAAATACTCGTACATCAACTGATGTCATTAAAGACATTTCAGCATGAAAATAAGGTAAAAATGTTCAGATATCGGCTATGAAAATCGGCACTACATATTGGACATCGGCTAACCTCGTCTCCTACACATCGGCATAGGTATCAGCAACAGAAAAACAATATCAGTCGACCTCAAAATGAAGTTTTATTTTGACAGTGAGAAAATGATCAATTAAACTCTTCAAATTATGTTTGGTAAAACAAAAACAATTTAATCAGAACAACAGTTATTTCTATGCCACAAAGATGCTTCTTTTTGAATTCTCTCTCTCTCTCACACACACACACACACACACACACACACACACGAAGAATAACAAATTTAAAAAATGGCTGAGAGTGTTGGAGACAAGCCTCCAGAATTTGCAAGATCAACGGTGCTGGCCTGACAGATCCCAGCGGTAGACACCAGACTTCTGCAGAAGCCAACACTGCTGATATTGCTGCCATATCCATCACTGCCACGGCCACACAAAGGTCCCTACGCTGCACTAAACGCTCAACGACATGTTTGTGTGCGTGGGTCTGCCTCTCTGTGTGAGGGTAATAGAATGTGGAGTGGGTTTAAATAGCTCAGTGTGAATCTAAGGATGGAACTAAAACACTTTGCCAGCACACAAAACAGAGCACACTGATGGGAGGAAATTAGACCTGACAGCCAGCACTCCTGTCCTGGCCAGTCAGGTAAAAGAATGAGCACGGTGGCTGCTAAGTGTAAAGTTAGACATGAGTGAAGTAAATTAAAATGAATAAACGTCATTTAGGCAGCGTGAATCCTTTTGGGAGAGAGTAATTTGGGCAATCATTTAATTTATAACATGCTTTAGCTGCATTCACTGGGATGTGCAAGAATTTGATCCATGTACTGTTGTTGGTTTCCTTGTGTACCAGCAGTCACACACACACACACACACACACACACACACACACACACACACACACACACACACACACACCCTAACCCATGCAATCTTCAAGCACAGGACCATCATCATCTAGATCTAATAATAAATAAATAAATTATTCATGTCATAATATACATATATTATTAGATAACCAAAGCTAGGATATCAGTTACAAACCTTTTGATCATTTAGGACAAAAGAATCTCCTGATGTTAAAACGAGTTAATCTAATAAATCCCTTCTATGATGCTGGATGTCTGAACTATACTCAAAGTTAGATAAATATATTTTAAGATTGTACACTGATGTCATTTACGGCAGTCTAATTTTGAGTGTTCGTGGACACAATTTTTTTTTCATGCTACCCAGCACGATTTTTAAAGTCACTGAAATGCATTAATCTAAAATCGTAACCGCAGCACTTTTTTAAACTGAATTTCACAAGTGGAATTGTTTTTAAAAATTGTGCTGAGTAGCAAAAAAAGACAAATAAATTTTGTCCATGAGCACAAAACAGATTACATTTTGTGACTGTCACAAACTGCAGTGGGTCGGGTTTTAGAAAAATTACAATGAAGAAATAAACACAATCTGCACGATTACCTTTGAGGTCAAAGAGATAAGCTGACCATCACAAAGAATGTCCTTAGTTAAACAGACTTCAAATCTCTCTCTTATGTCAGAGGTAGGATACATTTAACTTGCTATGTTGGAATGAAATGTTATAAATCATTGTTCCCCAAATTCAAATAAAATAACCTATTTTCCATTTTAATCGCAGGGGATGTTTAAATAAATACCACAGCTACAAAATGCATCAGACAGACGGCATCTAATAAACATTTAATGAACTGTAAAGGGTATTAACCGAAGCTTCATTTAATGTGTGAAGTTTTTATGTGACAGTAGAGTGATACCGGTATGTTGTATTTTCTTGACCACAGCACTTAAACTACTTTTACCACAGACGGAAACTCAAAAAATAGTGCTGCTGCTTCTGTGTGTCTGCCAGAGGAAAGAGCAGCTCTGACAGGGACTGATGGATAAATCAGATTTCACTTGCAGGAGGTTCAACTTCTCATCTCTAGGAGATGCGCTGAAGCAGCATGACTGTGCGCAGGGACCTGAGTGGAGGGTGTAATAACCTTTGCAGGAGTGCATGCACGAGTGTGTGTGCGTGCAAGCGTGAATGCCCACTCTTCTTCAGTGTCAAATGTGATTAATCAACAGGAGTGACATTATGCACCATTTTTTTAGGCCTGTTTCCACTATCGGACCTTCTGGTTATTTTACCGGGCCTTCGTGGAATGCACATGTCTCCATTACACTGGGCCAGCCCAAAATGTCCATTTTCTGTGATTTCAGGAGTACTTGAACTGGGGTATGTCGCAGAATGGAAGTAAAAAAATGAGCTGCTTTAAAATTACTGTTTCTAAACTCATCACCAACGAATGCATGAGGAATCCCCCCACAAAGACACTTTGTAGTCTCCATAGGAAGCCTAAGGCTACGTTCACACTGCTCATCTACTTCTGGACCACGGGTCCCCAACTGGCAATAAATAAATAAATAAATAAAAAGAATCAGAGTCAAGGAAATTATCAAAGTTCATTTCTGATCCCGTTTAATATGCGCCACGGATTTCACCTATGATGTCCGTGAATTTTAGACACATTTTGATGCCAAGAAAGTGCTTAATTTCAAAAGTCAGCAAAATTTATATTAGGTTTTGTGTGAAAAGATGTATAAGACTACAAATGTTTGTCTCACCAAATTGACGTAATCGAACCAGACACGAAGAAGGAAAGAAAATATGGCTGTGAGTTTAGCGAGCTTCGAATCCTTCTTTCAGGATGAAAAACTATGGAGCAAGGATTGGGGCAATATTCAATGTAACTTGTACCAAGTTTTGTAACTTCGAACATGTTTCATCACATGTAACTTTGGATTCGTAACTTGTAACTTTAGTTTTCTAACTTGTAATTCTCTATTTGTACTTGTGTTTCTTGTTTTGTAACAGGAAATTTTCATTTCGTACATGTATTTTTTATTTTGTAAAATCAAACTTTTATTTTGTACATTTACTACTCATTTTTTAACATCAAACATTCATTCAGAAACATGAAACTTTCGTTTTGTAACTAGCAGACTTCCAAATGGAAAAAATCAAGGTACAAGTTTGAAATCAAAACTCTCAAAACACACATTCATTCTACAGGTACAAACCTCAAATCTACAGTTACAGATCTTTTTGTCTCGATTCTAGCGTCAGTGGGAGGAACTTGGGTGGAACCAATGAGAGCATGAGTCTTAACTACCAATCACGTTTCTCAAATTCCTGTCCAATCATTGGGAGAGGAGGGCAGGGTTCTGTCAGAGCTGTAGAGAGTTACAACACGGAATGCAGGAGTCACGTGTCACGATCCGCCCCTGCCTTCCTGACTGTGTCTCTCTCCTGCCCTGATTAGTCCTTATTGTTCTCACCTGCCCCTCGTTAACCTGCCCATGTGTTCCTAATTTTCCCTGTGTATTTATACCTCCCGTCTTGTACCAGTCTTCGTCGGGTCATTGTATGTGCATGTGCTTGTTTGTCCTGTCGCTCCCGGTCCACCATTAAAACCATTTTTATTTTTCATCCGTGCCTGCTCTTCTGCCTCCTGAACTCTCCACCACACATGGTCTACCATCTCCACTCCTCCCAGCATGACATCACGTGGTTCATTTAGCTTCGAATAGTTCCAAACAGCCCCCGCTGCTGCATTGACTGCAGTTCATTTTCGGTGTTTCGGAAGG